TGAAGTGTAAACTCTGGATTTATACAGCTTTTCTATCCTTAAATCAAAACAGTATTCCAGTTAAAATTTAAGATCCTGAGCACGAAGAGATCACAGCAGAAAGAAGTAAAGCAGAAAGGTGGGATACCACAACATACAGTTCATAGCGATGACCTCTCATGAAAATTTAAATTCTATGGAAAGTTTAACTTTCGACCCTTTTGCTATATAAGTATTCTTCTATCTACATGTGGTGAAGTTGTTTGGTGTGTTGTCTGTGGAACAGGAAGTTAATTTAGTAGATGATTAATGGATTTTCAGTGGAAATCTTTAAGGACTTTTACATGACAAAGTTTTGTAAACTTGTTTAAAAACTGAGAAGTTCAAATTTACCATAGCAGTTTCTTGCTTTAAGTTAGGAAACTGGTAGTACTATTGGCTTAATTTAGTCAGAGAATAATTTTTGGTATTGGGGATGATTGATTTGTAAATCAAATGCTTTTGACTTTCTTCAAGCAGCCATTAAATCAGAGTTTATTTGTTCTTCCAATGAGCAAGTCATTCTGAGTCCTCTGAGACGTAAACGTCCCCTGGTCCATGATAACTGTCCAAAAGTATAGTCTGACTCAGCAGCTCCCCACGGTAAATGTGAAATAGCTTTTTTAGTGAAAGACACAAGGTTACATGGAATTTTCTCCCATTTACTCTCAGGTTATCATGGATTGTGGCTGATAGTAATTTGTTATCCCCCAGCAACTTAATTGTGTGTCAAAGGCCTGATTGTATTTAGAAGCATAAACTGATTCTCTACTGAACTTTTCAGCCCTCAGTATCACGTGCTCAGTTTATTAGGAAAAAGTACTCTGTTTCTTCAAATGCAGCCAGGCTTCTGGTAACGATTAAAAATTCCTTTCATCCTTCATCTTAGCATGAATAAAAAAATATTTCTGAAGATATTGAGCTGAAGATATCTGTGCAGCTTTTTAGTCTTCAGATTTTGTTGAGACAATTGCTGTGTATCTCCGTTTCCAGCAATGTGCCTGCACAGCTATGGTCAATTAGAAATGGGCTTATTACCTGAAAATACCAAAACTGAATCCAGCTCATTTTTGTGTGAGAGAGATTTTTTTTCAGAAGAAAATGAAAACTTCCAGCAGCTAAAAAACAAACAAACAAACAAACAAAATGCCAACAAAAACACCTTGATCACCGGCACGATCAGGGAACAGGTTTGTTGAGTAGGATGATAGCGTTTCCACAAAACCACTTCTCAAAACAGAACGCTGTGTTCTGCGAACCTGTCTGTTGAGTTTTCAGTCTCTCCTTGAGCAGTAAAGCATTTTAGAGAGCTACCATCAGGAATTAAGACACATATATTAAATACAAATCTGATATTTTTATTGGTGTTAATAAAAATGAGCTTGGAATGCAAAAATGTAATAGCATCTAACTGAATGAAATTATCTAGAAACTGTATTACAATGTATATTGTGCAGTCATTCAGGTATATTGGAACACATTTCTTGAGAAGTACTAACAGAACAGCAAAATACTGGGCTTTTCATGGAGACCAAAGTCAAGTGAAAAAGTCTGGAGCTGAAGCTTGGGCTTTTGTTCACTTGACACATGATAAAATTGGGAAGTGTCATTCTCCAATTTTATTCTCCCTCTCCCTCTCTCCCTCTCCTTCTCTCTCCTCTCATCAAAAAATCTCTTTCAGGTTTTTCAAATTATCTTCAATCAGCCCTGAAAGGTGAGGCCCTTGAAAAGAGATGGGATTTTGTTTTTGCCTCCCACCCTTTTAACAATACCTGTTAGCTCAGGATAGTTGGATTTAGACTTCTGGTGGTCACTGGTGAAGTGTCTTTTCTAGCACAGCAATTTTGAAATACACAAGGTCTGAGGATGCTCCCTGTTTGTTTCATTATGGTTTAGACTGCAGTTATTTCTTCCTTTAAGGACAATCTCAGGATCTTACTTGGGTCTGTGTGTAGATGGATTCTTAAAATAAATTACCATCAATACTCCATTTAAAAAATATATATGGAAGGCTCTCTAAACTCAGTGTAACATAACTTTTCTTTCTTTTGGCTTGCAGCAACTGGGAGCTGTTTTTAAAGGCTTCCCCCTGAAGTGAGGCTTTAAAGGGCTAAATAGGTCACACTTTATTATTGTTCAGTTCGCCTAGGTGAGTGTCAGACAGAAGGAACTCTCCATTTACAGTGAAGAAATGCTAAGGGCTATAATGCTTTCCAGGGCTAATTTGAAGTTCCAGAGACGTAAGTTTTTTTAAAAGAGCCACTCTGTTTTTCTTGTAACTCACAGACTCTAAAATCCCTTTTAGAAATGGCTAAACCAGTTGCAGATATACATGTGTTCCTAATCTGACTTGGAGCTTCCAGCTTGATAGGGACAGAGGGGAAGAGAGTACACTTGCCCACCCCTTTATTATGGCCTGTGCTGAAATCTTAACAGCTTCTATGAACAAAACTGGTAATAGACTCTGAGGAAGACTCTATTCCAGGAAATATTCGCTGAATATTCCTTTGCAATTTAGCTTTCCTTTAGCAAGGTCTAGCAAGGCATTCTACCAAAAGGATTCTCTTTAGGATTTTCAGTGTTAATGGCTACTACCATAATGAGGGAAAAAAAACTTTAATAGAAAGTTATTTTGCTACTTGGAGGGGTGGGGATTCTGCAACAGCATTCTCTTTCTCTTAGAATCCTGCATCAAAATTTTTACCTAACTTAACACCTGTTAAGATTTCCAAGGCCTATTTGTCTGAAATGTTTAAGTTGATGGATATTTGTACTTGGTTCTTGCTCCTTTTGAAAATTTTCTAAAAGCTTATGTGCAACTTTACTCAAACTTAACTTAGCCCATGCGCTTGCTAAGAGGAAGCAAGCGCCGAGACATTGTAAACCGAGTGTTGCTCACCTCTGCTTGGAATTGAACCAAGATCACCAAACCAAGCAAGTATCAGATGGCAACTATTTCCAGCTGCTTCTGTTCTGGGCCTGACCTGAGCCTAAGTATGAAAAAAATTTATTTCCTGTGTGCTGTATAGGCCTGCCCACTCAATTCAGCAGTGGTTGGTTTTTGTTATATTTATTTTTTTTAAACCACTGGTCTCACAACTAGTTGTGTATCAGCTGTTTATGTTAATGTCTAAGTCACCACACTTGCAAAATGTTATTTCCTGGATAGTGGATTAGCAATAACATTTCCTTTTGTGCCAATTCATTATCTCTGAAGTGTTCTTACTGCAGCAAAGTTTGAATTTTGATTTGGTTTTAATGCTTTTGCATTAGCCAGAATTATTAGCACAAACATGGACAACAAATTCAATCCAGGGAAATTCCCTGGATAAAAATCTGCTAGGGCTTCCCAGATCAGTTGACAATGGTTACAATTAGCCATTATTTTTAGAAAAAGCATACAATTAAAATGTGTGTGAGTATTTTTTTAACCTCCTTTTCATAACACTAGCGTATTGTAAACTGCATGAAATAAACGTTTTCTCCCTTTTAAAGTCTGATGTCTTAAGTTTTTCTTTTCTGAATCCATTACTGTTGACGTTAACAGTGCAACACTGCTGATATTCCCTGTTTAGCACTTCAGATATAAAATGCAGTTTGTAGTTCACTTTTGTGCAGTGATTCAAAGCAGTAATACCTTTTCCTTTGTAAAGGAGATGCATCCTTTTCTTAAGCCCCAATGCCTTTCTTAAGGCATTGGCCTTAGTTATTAAAAAAAAAAAACACACACACACACATTTATTCAGATACTTATTCACTGGGAAATTAAGGTATTTTCAATTAAGGTATTTTCCTTCGTGTTTACTGTTGCTGCCCATTACAGTAGGAAATTCTTCCCTCCAGCATGGATATGTAATCACAAAAGAGCCATATACCAAGGTTTAACTAAATATTTTGCATATTTTCTTTCATACAGCTCACAAGTGAGCCTGCCTAAAAATGTCATTTCTTTTAGAATACCTCGATTTTTAACGTAAATGGTTTTTGTTTGAAAAATTAAGCTAACTGAAATCAACACTTTATAATAAGGCTGACATACAGTATAATACAGGAGATGTAAATATGAAGCCACTCAGTACATTTGCTGCAAAAGTTTTGAAGATATAAATTGCTGAAAGAAGTAAATGGTTAAGTACCTGAAACAGCTCAGACAGCTGTTCACAAGTATAGAAAAGATAATAATTCAGTGTTAGTACTGAGAAATCAACTGGATTGCTCTTATTTTCCAAACTGCTAATAAGAACTGTGTATGAGCGGCTAAGACTTGTGAGTTCTAAAAGCTTACAGTCTGTACAGTTAAGTATGAGGTTAATTTCATGCTAACAGTTTTAATCAGTTTTAAATGCAAATAATGGATTAATTTTTCCTTATATATCCAGGACTTTGGTATCATTTTACTGAACTGATTTCTTGCATTTTAATAACATTCCAATTTTACCAGAATGTCACAAGTAAAGACATTAGTCTAGTAGAAATTAACTACTCAGCACATATTTCCATATTTTGTCAGGCTTTCTTCCTAAAAGTATTTGCACTTTACAGTCAAGTAGCACTACTTCCAATCCAAATTCCTATTCTCCGTATTTGTAGCTTCGAGTGTCTTCACAAATTGGCAAAAGTGAGAACTTAAAAGGGATAACTGTATCCCAAACCAGAAACCAGTTAATAAAGGGCACCCAAAAGAGATCATCCTACACTTCCAAGTAAGTCATTAATGTTCCACTCGGATCTTTTATAATATTTGGAATTTATTCTCCTTTTGGTAGGAAGTTTCATATCAGGAAGATGAAAATGACCCTGCAAATTTACCCTCCAGCGTGCTGAAGTCTTGCCTGGCAGTTATAAACAGATAGTCCCGTATTTATGTGATATTCTCTGAGGCTGCAATCCATGCAATTACATAAGATAAATGCTATAAGCATGGTGTTAATAGTTTTCTCTAAGAGCATTGCTTCTGGTAATGTCCTTCCAATCCTCTGCACAGAAATGTCATTTCCTCCACCACATCCATTCAGATCAACGGTGACAATCTTCAGTGCTGAATGTGGGAGGATGCAAATTCAGGCAACATGAAAAACCCTGGCAAATCTATGTACTACAATACAGTGAATCTGCCTGGTACCTTAAGGACCATGCTACCAAAGTTTCATCTTAAATGCAAAGATAATACTTCAGCTTAGAAGACTCTATACTGCAAATGATTGGATACCAGAAAGGTATACAGGGGAGTACATGTTTGTCCTGTTCCTACTGTGGGTATTCACTACTAGCAAAAGCTAGTAGTGAAGCTAGTAGTGATTCCTGAGCTAGAGTGACCTGTAGTCTGATTAGGCATAGCCACTACTATGTTCTTACAGAGCCTTGCTAAATATCTCAATTCCAAACTTCTGCAAAGAAGCCACCAGACATCCCAGGTATGTTTTCACCAAGTGACATGCCATTGAGATGGCATTCAGTAACTGTTTAGTGAAGCAATCTGCATCTGGTGTTTTCCTGAAGAACTCTGAGACTCCCCCTCATTCCCCAAGTCATTTGTGACTGTTCACGATGTATTTTCTGTACATGCATCTGCTAATTGGCTTCCCTCTCTACTCCAGCATTTACTAGTTGAAAGGAATAAAGCAATTAAGGCAGATGCTGCCACAGGTATCCATGCATCAGGAAGAGAACTATGCAAGAGCAAGGACCCACAGAAAGGTAAGTATCCTTATTTTGCATCCTTGTGATACATAACTGGCTGAATCACAAATGTGAATAGGGACTGTTCATTCAAAGAGAACATAGTTACTGTTAAGTAACTCCGTTACGGAGATAAGCTAAATAAGGACATGATGAGAACAGGGCAAGTGATTCAAGGATCTGGGCTGTTTATATGAAGGTGAAATCATTATTTTGCATTCTTAAACAGTTCTGTGATGTGCCACTATTCCTGTTCTGCCTCATGATCTCGTTCAGCATTCCTTGCTGCAACAGGGAGATGTTCCAACCTAAGGTCAGTCCTTTACGGAAAGGTGTATGCGGCCAGCGGAGGTGAATCCAAAGGCTGAAAAGTTGATTTCAACTCTTTCCATACACCTGGGAGACATGGGATTCCAAGCACAAACTCAGACCCATTCCAGAATGAGAGGTTTCTTTAATGACATATAGTTGTTGCAAATATGTCTGTGGAAGCTCTGGAAACAGTTCTTCCTTGTTTTGCATCTATGCTGGGAATGCCATCTCTTTAAAATATTGCCTAGTTAACTTTTGAGATTTAACGCAAAGATGTTACTACATCAGGCAAAAACTACTGTCCTGATAGCTCAACAGTTCTCGAGACCAGCCTAGAGAGGTGAAAACCAGAAAGAATACTTGTCCTCTCCATCCTTTCTGTAGGAATCAAAACTGACAAGATTAAATGAGACAATGAATTAATTAAAGACACATAAAAACAAAAAGCCTAGAAGGGGGCTGAGACATACCACTCAGCTCATGCCCTTGACCAAGGGCAGGAACTTGCAGCACATGTTGTCTAACCTACTTTTAAAGCCTCCTTTGATGAAGTCTCCACACCCCTCCCATACCCATTAGGCAATCAAATGCTTTAGCATCTTTGCCATTAAATATTTTCTTAATGCCTCACCTTCATTTTTCTTGCTGCAGTTTATACTGTTGACATCTTGTCCCCTCCATTACAGGCATGAATAGTAGGTTATTCCCTTTCTCTGGGCAATACCCTTTCATTTTCTCAAAAACAACTTATGTCTTCATATTGTTTATCATGTTTACAGTGATTCAAGGAGCGTAAAAAATCTAACAAAATTTTAAGTTGGAATTTTAAAAGCCAAGCAGAGCAAAGCACAAACAAAAATTTCAAACGAGGTCTAGATTCATCCTGCCAGCTTTAAGTGCCAGTTGCAACCAAATCCCAGATGTCAAGGGCTACAGAGAAACAGAAGTCCTCCAACTGGCATTTTAATGCATCTAAGATGAACTGCTTGCTCTTTGCCGCTGCCTACTCACTAGCTGGGATGTCGGGCAATGAGATTTCTAACAAAGCACATGTTTTGGATTAGGACAAAGTCAAATATAGGTGGGTTTTTTTTTTTTTAAAGTTAATTTTAGCACTCCCAAGATGAGATACAATTTTAAATTTAAGCGCTATATAGGAGGTAATGCAAGAACCACTAACACAGAGAGACCACAGTGAGGCTTTAGCTAGAGGACTGAAACATCATTTAAATTTCAGTAAAATTAAAAAAAAAACGAACAGAGGAGCAGAATGTGATTCATGGCCTACATGCCACTAAAAATGCGTTCTTATAAACCAAGAAAAAAAAAGGAAACGACCACGGTACATAAAGCATCTATCTACCTCTTAAGCATCAGACAAAAACCAGGCTCGGGCCGAGCTCGAGCTCGAGCTACAGGCGGGACGCGGGGCGGCAACCG